CAAGCCTGATTGAGCACTCAGTGTCGATGACGATGAACATGTGGATATACTTTCTGGTTTTTGTTGCAGCAAGTGCAATGACTGTTCCGTAGAGAAATATTTTTCTTATTAAAACTGTCTGATCTATAAATATTAAATAAAAAGGTACAGAGACACTAGGTAAAGGCTTTTTACTTGTATATTTTAATCAATATAAAAGTTATTTTACCTGCTATAAGTAGAAGCTATTATTCTCGCAAGTACTTTATACCTGATGGCTTTGTCAGAAAATCATTCATTCAAAATGATCATAACAAACAAAAATGTTGTCGGTAATATTGACATCACCTAGGGAGAGTTTCCACAAGTTTCTCCGTTCCAGATTCTTAGGAAATCTAAAAAATATAGGTATTACTCATACTTATAATATTACTGAAACAGGAAAAAATAAGTTGAACAATTAAAAAATATATCTTTCTAATAATTTAGATAATGATTTAGTCAGTATTTTATCACTGCTAATTAAGTACTAAATGTAAAACACCCTTATGTAATTCCTCAAACGCCGCCCATGTTGCTTGTTTACTTACCTGTCAAAAGACCGCTGCTCGCCCTTTTTAAATAAAACTTTGCAAATAACACACTTTCTAACCATATCTTACCAGTAAATAAATGTCCATACATAAATGCATTTTGCTGAGTCGCGGAACCCCCAGGCAGAGAGGTTGTAGGGAACCCCATGGTTCTGCGGAACACAGTTTAAATACCGCTGTGTTAGATTATAGTAGTAGTTTTGAAAACACCTTCAGTCAAATATCCAAACTTATACATGCATTTTTCTTTTTGTATGAAACAGCATATTATTCTATTGGATAATCAGTTATAATATCACAAGAGCATAGAAAATATTCGATTATACTTCCGAGTCACGAGACGTATTCAGTTATAATATCACAAGAGCATAGAAAATATTCGATTATACTTCCGAGTCACGAGACGTATTCTGCGAAACACCACGACAGCGTAGCTGGAGTGGTGTTTTAAGGATATACGTCGAGTGAGAAGGTTAGTATAATCGAATATTTTTGTTTGCTCGAGTGGTATTCGATACGATTATATAATTCAGAGCTTGAACCGAAGCGCTCCATTTTTTTTTACGTTTATTGACAAATGTTAAAACTATCGTTACCATGACATAGTTCACATTGTTGGAGGAGGCGAAACACCAAAACGGTTATACCACGTCGTCAAGAGTATAATCGCTTATCAATACATAGTAACTACGTAAAATTGGTAATTGCTATTGGCTAAATTTCTAATGAATTATATAATCGTAAAATATACATGTAAGCAGTAAACATCATTTTCATATTTGGTTTTACCTAAATGTGGTAAAAAAACGATTCTCATGGTATTAGCAATTAAATCCCGACTGGCTGACTGATTTCGGAATAAGAATCAAAATGTTGTAGTTCTCGCAATTAAATACTTTAAATTAAAGAAGCCAGTTGAAGTGTGTCAAGCCAATACAGTTGTTTACCAATACCACATTTGACATGGAATATCTTCAGATAAGATGAATTTAATATCCATGTCATTCAGTGTCGAGCATTGGCGGACGGATTTTTAAACGTGACAGTTGTATCAAAAATTGACATCAGATTTCTGAACTATCGCAAAGGTTTAAAATTTTGATATTAGATTTTGATTTAATTTTTTTGTTGGTAGATGTAGTTTATTGTCAACAGAAAGTATACCAAATTAGAGCATTTGACTGAAAGAAAGTTACATATAATTTCTTCTTAATATTTGTTTATTGAATTTGTATTTACTCAGGTCTGTTCAGAAAATAACTGAACTTTTTGGATTACGCGTTAATGGAAATATTTAGTGATATGCATTTGGCAGCATTGTAACATACTTGTTCTCGGAATGTTGATGTCTCATTTAGTTTTCGTGATATTTTTATTTGAGTGCAACATATTTAAGTGTTGGTGGCGATACAACGTAAAATTTTGTGTGAAAGTGGCTTAAGCTTTCGCGGAAACGTTAAAACTTTTAAAACAAGCTTACGGGGACATCGTCTCCGAGATGTATGCAATGTTAAGAATGGTTTTCACGATTTAAAAGTGGTCGTCAGCTAATTGAAGATGATGCTCGACCAGAAAAGCCTTTGACTTCAACTGATGACTTCCACGATCAGAAAGTCAAAGATCTGGTGCGTGCAAATCGCCAATAAACAGTCAAAGAAATTGCAGAAGTGGCATCTCAATTGGGTCATTTTAACTAAAAAATTGAACGTGCATGGAGTTGCAGCAAAATTTGTTCCTCGTTTGATAACCGAACAACAGAATCCAATGACGATGAAACGTTCATTAAAAGGATCATAATGGCAGACAAAAGACGGCTACGACATTGAGCTAAAAGTTCAATCATCACAATGGATTGGTACTGTTTTTTTTTTAATTTAGTGGATTTGTGCATTTTGAATCCTTGCCTCAAGGTGAAACAGTGATCCGTATGTTTTACAACGATTACTTAAACAAATCCGCAAAAAGAGATCAGAGTTGTGGCGAGATAACTCATGGTTCTTGCACTATGACATTGCGCCCGCATACTCAGCTTTGCCAATTCGTCAAAATCAGATTACTGTCCTCTTTCAGCCTCCTTCCACGTCAGACCATGCTCCATCTGATTTTTTCTTATTTCTGAAATTAAAATCAGTGCTGAAAGGACGCCATTTTCTTACTGTTGATGTCACCAAAGCAAATTCGTCACTTACTTTAAAGGCCATTTCAAATGAAGCTATCCAGAACTGCTTCGCGAAATGCAAACACCGCTTGATAAGGGGGCGTACTTTGAAGGAGATAAGGACCAGTAATGTATATAATTAATAATAAATTTTTGAACAAATAAAGTTCAGTTATTTTCTGAACAGACCTCGAACACTCACATTAATGTATCAAAGCGACAATAAAGTATTTGGTCGCCACTGATTGATACTACTCCAACCAAATTATTAAGGTTTATTTACCAAAATTGGAAATAATTTTCTGGAAGTTAAATGGCTCCAAAGTTCTTTACTTTTTTTGCTTCCGTACTTGATGTCAATAAGTTCCACTGTTGTAAACGAGAGGCAAGAATCTTTGCCTTATATCTAAATATGTAGTTGCAAGTCTCGTACAAGATTATTTCATTGATTTTGACATATCATAACACAGGTCAACATTTTATCTAGGCATGTGCATGGGAATCGAAGATGGTTTTCTAGGGTTTTTGGGGTCGCTGATTACGATGAGTGGGTCGGTTAGGCTCCATCACGTCATGTTCAAGGTCATTTGAAGGTCAAACGGTCAAAAAATCTTCCAAAAATCTGAAAAATTTAATGGACATGTTTTTGAGGTGGCTGAATCCGAATCCAGTGTTTATTTTTACTTTGCATGCATCCTTGAGGTCATTCAAGTTCATCTCAAGGTTATTTGAGATGTGTTTGAGACAAAAATGCTAAGTACCATACGAAAAATTTGAAAAAAGGTAATTTCAAGGTCATTTGAAGGTCAAATGGTCAAAAAACCGTCCAAAAATCTGAAAAAATTCATGGACATATTTTTGAGGTCGCTAAATCCGAATCCGGTGTTTATTTTTACTTTACATGCATTCTCGAGGTCATTCAAGGTCATGTCAAGGCAGCTATTCTAGTTCTGTGGTACAATTGTGCATTTCGCAGATTGAGATTTTTACCGTGTTATACATTACTGAGATTTATACGAGAAAAGATTCTTTGGAAAGTAACTTTAGAATTCACGTAAAAAAAAACCTCAAATAAGGTTCATTTTTTTGGTTTGTTTTTTGACCGTTTGACCTTCAAATGACCTTGAACTTGACGTGATGGAGCCTAATCGACCCGCTCATCGTAATCAGATAAAATGTTGACCTGTGCATAATCTTTGAAAGTAAAATCAGAATCAACATGTACATACAGATTTTCACTTTCTTCATTACTCGTACTTGACATGGCTGGGTATATAGCATGTGCCACAGTCTCCGCATGTAAAATCCATTTGATAAAACGTCCGCATATTTAATTTTATGTTTAGTTTTTGAATTAAAACCGGCATTTGTCATACAACAATAATTTTCGTGATTTAAGGGTTATCCACAACATTGGTGATCCAAATTGCAGATAAACTTTTTCTCTCGATGCCCAACGTATTAGAGTTATCCTACAAGCTTCACAAAAAACATGTGGAGCCCATTTTTTGTCTTGATGACTTACTGACAAATCAGAATAATGCATATACACTGTTTTCAGAGATTCCGATATAGCTCTTCCTTTTTTTGCAAATATGAATTGTCCACAAACGTATCAAAACCGGTCAGGACTTTACACACTTTATTAGACATTTTATTAAAAATAAAATCGTTTTCTTTCACAAAAACTTTAGAAAATTGAATTTCGAATCAACACGGGTAAGTAAATAAAAGTAATTCTCGTACTAGCAATATGATATTAACAACAACTATCATCCGAGGTATATAAAAATTGTTAGAATTTGTAAATCAGTGTAATTTTTGTGACGTTGTTGGATAAGATTTTTCATATAAAGTTTGTGTTACTTTAATGTGTTCTTTTATAGTACCTATAAATTACTAACAAGTTACGATTAAAGTTTTCAAAGTCCAAGAAAAAAAATTGAACAATTATTTTGTTTTACCTTTTGACAAGTAAATAGTTATCAAGTTTTGTAGCTGACTTTAATATTCTTTATTCAAAGTACCTATAAGTATGACTCGCAGATAAAATTGTTTATATTTGAAGTCAAATAGTTCAGTATCTTGAAAATATATTGTTCTCAAAAAATGTTTTATCTCTAATTTTTTCGTTTTTTATTGCATTTGGGAACGCCACTGACTAGATCATTGACTCAACAAAACACACTAATCGTTTTACGCAGTTGCTTTCCTCCTACTACCGTACTTAAATACGTCACGCGGCGGGCCATGACTGAGAGATTCCTATTTTAATAGTGTCTGGCGTGATGTCTATGTGGGTGCCTCTCTAAAGCGTTGTTATACTTTTATTTGTTACTGGTATGATATGGGATATAACGAAACGATGAAAACATCAATAGTTCTCGTTTTGCTTACTTTACTAACAAGCAGTTCTGGTTTAAATATACTTGGTGTTTTTCCTCATCTCGGTAAAAGTCACGCAGATGTCTTTATTACGTTAATGAAAGGACTAGCTCAGAAAGGACACACTGTGACAGTCATCAGCCATTTTCCCTTGTCAAAATCCATCCCGAACTACAAAGACATCGACCTTGGAGGGAGATCTCAAGCGTTCGTAGAACTTTTACCTATGGACGTAATAAATCCAGGCAGTAGATTACAGATGATCGGCAATGTGTTTTTGTTGTCATATTTTGCCAATATTTCCTGTGAAGTAGGATTTAGCTCGCCAGCGATGCAGAAGTTTCTCAAAACTGACGAGAAATTCGATTTGCTTATCATAGAATTCTTTAACAGTGACTGCTTTATGGGACTGACACAAAAAATAAAGGCTCCTGTTATTGGTTTGAGCTCGTGTACGATCATGCCCTGGACTTCGGAGAGACTAGGCAACCCAACGCACACCGCATACATACCAAATAATAATATGGATTACTCTGACCAGATGACGTTCCGTGAGCGTCTGGAAAATACTGTGATTACCTTAATTCATCAGGCTCACTATCAATACGTCACTTTGAGTAGAGATGAGGAGATTGCTAGGAAATATTTAGGTGAAGAAGCGTCCCGGATTAGAGAATTTATTAGGAACAGCAGTCTTTTGATAACCAATAGTCATTTTACTTTAAATCTTCCCAGACCTCTCGTGCCTGGAGTTGTGGAAGTTGGAGGGTTGCATATTGGAAAAACACAGCCATTGCCGAAGGTGAGATGTCGTTTTAATTATAGCCCATTAGGACATTTATCTTTTTTAAATATTGTTTACTAAAACAGTTTGCGTTTTATTACGGAATTATTTATTACTTCGCTTGAACTCACATTATGATTTAGTTAATAATAGACGTTAAACTAGCCAAATGCAACTTAAACGAATGTTTTCGGAGTGCATACAATGTTATTACTGCTTTTGCAAATTGCAGGGCAATATATACGATGAATTAATAACTAATTAGGCATTGATTAACATTTACATATTTTGGAATAACTTCTACAAATACAAATATTTTCATTAAAATTCCGTAAATATGAAACATCATAGGAAGCAAACGTATAAACTATTTAAGAGGAGCAATATAAATTACCTATAATTACTGCTATAACTTTTGTCTTTATTTTATAATTTTCACTAAAGTTATAGATTCACTGGTTTATTAAATTGTTTGATAGATAAGGCGAAATCGGCGGCTTCGTATGAAAAAATAAGTGGATTCGATTTTTTTGCATAATCACCTCCGTGAGATGTCCCTGAATGAGGATCAAAATGTTACCGGCCGGTAACCTGGTCACAATTTTTTTAAACTAATTTTTTTTAAACAAATTGTAAAAATAACTTGTTTTGTTCCGGAAATTTTGGGGTATTCTAAACAAAATAGTTCCTATGCACTATGCTCCTAAAATCAACGGTTTCTGAGTTATAAACAATTTAATGTACGAAAAAAATGTAAAAACGGCCATTTTCAAGACTCAAAAACAATAACAAAAAATCAAGTTTTTGATGTTACTAAAGTTTAAAAGTAATCTTTAAACATCCCTTGACAAAATACCGAAGAGTTATTTGGTGTAATTACATTGCAATGCGTATTATTTTACCGATAAACAATATTCATTTTGACTTGCGCGCCGCGCGTATGATGGTCCCGGATTTCGGATTTGCACGTATAACTCCCGGAATATAATATAATGTACATACAGGGTCGGAAAGTCCCCATGGCTCCCCCGTTACGTGAGAGCGATAAAGAAAGTCATAGAAATCCGTGCGATAGAGAAAGATGGCTATAATGAAGGCGTCTAATAGTCACCGCCCATTTCGCCCTTCCACAAATACTATTAGACGCCTTCATTATAGCCACCTTTCTCTATCACACGGATTTCTATTACTTACTTTATCGCTCTCACGTAACAGCCGATGAACCATGGGAACTTTCCGCCCCTGTATAATATAAAAAAAATTAAAGAAAAAATCATAACACGGCGAGGAAAATTAAAATTCGTTGAACCGTTGTTAAATTTCACAAACGATTTTTTTGTTTGTAAACAATATTCAATAATTTAATAAAATATATTTAGTTTATTCCAATTTATTTATACCGTCAGTAGGTAGGTAATTCGTGAATAGATATTTCAAAAAGGTATCATTTTCAAAATTCATTCTTGTGAAAATCTGTATATTTGTATAAATGGATGGTTCCTTGAAATTCAGAAGTGTCAGGAAAACGCGTGACCCTGAAAATTTTAAAATTTTCTGCCTGCGGCGCCATTTAAAGACTCTCCGGCCACTTAATATCCCGGAATTCAAATTAACATTTGTAATAACCCCATGCAGAACACATTCAATCAATGTTCAGGCGCCGCCACTGTGTAAAACTAAAGCATATAGTTGTAGAAAAAATAATGTTGCTTGTGTTACTTTATGTGGTTGTAATGCAGACGACTGTGAAAATTTTATACTTAAATAAATATATTTATAAGTTTAAGACATTTTACTCTTTATTTTTTATTTACTTTAAAATATATGTCGAGATATACAGGGTCGGAAAGTCCCCATGGTTCATCGGCCGTTACGTGATGAATAAGATCCACTTCTTATTTGTGGAAGGGCGAAATGGGCGGTGACTATTAGACGCCTTCATTATAGCCATCTTTCTCTATCGTACGGATTTCTATGACTTACTTTATCGCACTCGCGTTACGGCCGATGAACCATGGGGACTTTCCGACCCTGTATGAAAAAGTGAGGCGCTGACGGGGTCGGCGCACAGTGGAGTGCCCGAGCGGCGCGGCGCGCAAGTCAAAATGTATATTGTTAATAGGTAAAATAATACGCATTGCAATGTAATTACACCAAATAACTCCTCCGTATTTTGTCAAGGTATGTTTCAAGATTACTTTTAAATTTTAGTAACATCAAAAACTTTGTTGTTATTGTTTTCGAATTTTGAAAATGACCGTTTTTGCATTTTTTCGTACTTTAAATTGTTTAAAACTCGGAAACCGTTGATTTTAGGAGCATAGTGCATAGGAGCAAAACAAGTTATTTTTGCAATTTGTTTAAAAAAAATTAGTTTAAAAAAATTGTGACCAGGTTACCGGTCGGTAACATTTTGATCCTCATTCAGGGACATCTCACGGAGGTGATTATGCAAAAAAATCGAATCCACTAATTTTTTCATACGAAGCCGCCGATTTCGCCTTGTATATGAGTAAAGAACCATTTTTGATTTGTGTTAACGTCAAACTTGTTTGTTTTCAAAGCCTTCTCAGTCAGAAAACTTAAAACTTATCGTTGGTATTTTTAAAGTTTTATATTTCTCGCAAATCTACACAAAAATAAGTAGAGTATACATTTTTGAAATCCATTTTTAAACCCTCTTTCCATTTGTGAAATAAAATGTGTTCCATATAAAAAACCCAAGTTGTGGTCATATCACAAGAACTAAACATATTATCACATTTATTTTTATGCCATCGAATGTAGCTCAAAAAAGTGCCTGTAGAATGTTCAAATTGTTTTAAGATATCTTGAAAGGGAAACGAGAACAGGGCACCAGTCGGTTTAGCCAAAAATCGAGAAACGACCTGTAGCCCGAAGACGGTAACAGATAGAGAGGTGCGGTTTACGCCGTTGTTATTTTCTCGAAAAAAGAGCTTTGGTCTCGTCTATCAGATTTGCTCTATCTGTGACAAATTCACAGTAACCCTTGAAAACTGACTAATTTTAATCACTTGGTACATCGTGGTAGCTGCTTAACTATTGTTTGTTTATCTGTCTCGTTCGCTTATCTCGCTTATAAAAGTTACATTTATTAAATATTTAGTTTTATGGAGCTGGAACCAAGGTTAATAAAAAATCTTTTCTCCGTTTTATTTGTATTTAAAACTTTTGAAGACCGTTTGCACGATTTAAGAACCGTATTAGGGTTCCACTAAAACAAGGAAGAAGGCATTCATTCATTATCAATGTTTATACAGGGTCGGAAAGTCTCCATGGTTCATCGGCCGTTACGTGAGAGCGATAAAGAAAGTCATAGAAATCCGTGCGATAGAGAAAGATGGCTATAATGAAGGCGTCTAATAGTCACCGCCCATTTCGCCCTACCACAAATAAGATCCACTTCTTATTTGTGGAAGGGCGAAATGGGCGGTGACTATTAGACGCCTTCATTGTAGCCAGCTTTCTCTATCGCACGGATTTACGGATTTCTATGACTTACTTTATCGCTCTCACGTAACGGCCGATGCACCATGGGGAGTTTCCTACCCTGTATTAGCATCACACCTCGGGCTAGTCGGCGCATCAGCTTTCTCAACGTCTTTAGTCAAATAAATATCTAATATAGGATGTCCCTAACAATAAATCGCCGGCCTTAAAACATTTAATTACCTACCTTCAATAAGTTTTTAGTGAAGGAGTTTCTTCTGGATATGTAAGAATTGACTCTCTATGTAAGTTTTGTTAATAGAGTATGTCTACCAAGAAATACAGATTGCTTCACGGTAACCTATCGAATGATATTAATAGAACTGCAAGTTAAAAATTTAAATGATAGTGCCAAGTTATTTGTACTGTTGTTCCACTTTCTGCTTGCCATACTAAAATTGCTGACCACCCATTAATATAACACACCTTCGACTATCACTTACACAAACAAATTCTACGCTCTATTACTACTTTGTGTTTTTTTTCTTTATTTAATACAAAGGTAACATGATTCATTCAGTCATTTATTTGATTCCATATGCTCAAGTTATTAAAAACAAATTTTAAAGGGACAGAAATATTTGAGAGGGGTAATTTAGCGATCATATTTCTCTTGTTGATGTTAACACGCTGAATTGGAATTCATATATGTACATATTAGTCTTTCCTCATTTTGTATGTTTACTAAATAATATAGTCTATATATTTTCATTAATTCACCATTTTCATCATTAAACAAGAAACCATACAAATTTTGTACATACATTTCATAGAATTCATATGGCACATTAATTGATACACGTGAATATTTCGCCAGTGAAGCCTCCCTCCGAACCAAAAATGACCTAAATGTTGTTTACTTTATTGGGGGATAGCGGTTGCTGACCTTGAATTTGACCTTAACCGTGACCTTGAGGGTCAATTAAAAGCCAACATCATAATTTTGGAACCCACAATTTTTTACTCTGGGAATGGACTCGGGAGAAAATTTTACATCTCAACTTTGACCTTACAATCAAGTCACAATGAGTTCAAATGGATCGTCATCCCTGAACAACCTTGGGATAAGATGATTGTCCTAAAGGCGATGGGATTTTCATCAATGTACTCAATCACGACCTTGAGTTTGACATTGACCTTGATGTACAAGGTCATGTGAAGGTAGACTACAGAGATCGACTTTGATGACCTCTACAAATGCTTTTAAAGATATTCGAGACCATGTTATCTTGGATATAATCTTGAAGATCATTTGATGGTTGATTTTGCTTCTTTTTATATCGGTATCTGTATTCCTGAGTGAGGCTGGATCCTGGAAAAAAGTAAATTATACACCCGAGTTTATTATAAAGAAATAAGAGGTCAGATTAAAAGTTCATTTGAAGATCAAATCAAGAGGAATAATAACAAAATGACCTCGTCTACAAATAATAGTGATTTGTAATTTCTTTTTTCAATTTTTTATCATCATTCAGTCTCACTTTGTAACGTACTCAAATATGCATTTT